CCCGTTGCGGAGCACAGGCTCAGCGGCCATGGCTCACGGGCCCAGCCGCTCCATGGCATGTGGGATCTTCCCGGACTGGGGCACAAACCCATTTCCCCTGCATCAGCAGGCGGACTCTCAACCACTGCGCCACCAGGCAAGCCCTCGAAATCTATTTTTAATAATGTTTCTTAACTTTTAACAATGCTTTTTTTCCTAAATCTATTTTATATGCAATTAAAATAGTTTCAACAGCTGTGTTCGGTGACTATTGGTGTGGTACATCATTTTCCATTCTTCCACTTTCAATATTTTTGTTCTCATATGTTTTAGGTATACCTTTTGTAACCTCCATAAAGCTGGATTTTCTTCTCTTAATCCAGTCTAATAATCTGTCTTCTAAACTTTAGTTAGTCCATTTACATTTTTATTTCATTAACTGTTATATTTGCTTTTATTTCTACCTTTTTTTTTTTGTTTGGTGTGTGCTACTTATTTGTCCCATTTTCCTCTAATTCACTCTCTCCCTCTTTCTTCCTTCCTTCCTTCCTCCCTCCCTCCCTCCCTCCCTCCCTTCTTTCTAACTTGACACCTGTATTGTATTTCAATACCCTAGATGGTAACTCTATACAATTTAAATGCATTTTTAACTTGAGTTTCATGTTAAAAACGACTGGTATAACTAGATCACTGGGGTAGGAATTGCTTCCCAGTGGGTTATACGGGGCAGCTTCTGAGGAGGCCCCCAGGTCATGGTTCAGATGAAGTCATCTGAACTTGGAGGTGCTGAACCTGGCATGGGACCCATGACCTTGCAGGGTGTGGTTGTGAGCCCCTCCTGGGAGAAGAGGGGCTCTGTGACAACGCCCTGAGGGGCATCTACCATGCTGTGCACTGGACGACTTTGCACTCCTGCCCTTCCCGGGACTTGAGGCCCCCAACCCCATGTGGTCCCCCAGCAGGGGCATGGTAAGGAAGCCTGGGCACTGGACAGCAAGGACTTGAACCAGGCCAAGGCACATGAGACCCAGCCCTGAGCCTATAAACTCATGGTGTTCAGAAAGGCCTTTGAGGAGAAGCAGCCTATTTACCACCAGACAATTCACAAGGGAGAAGAACCCCAAATGTGTCGGGAGTGTGAGGTGTCCTCAGAATGACACACCAGAGGAAAGCCGTCAAGTTCACTAACACACCTCGGCAGCCAGCTGAGGAGTGCACAGCGGTGAGGAACTCTGGCTGAGAGGCCAACACAGAGCTGCCTGACCTTATGGCTTTTCAGGATGAGCTTGAGGTTTCAATTTTTATGTGAAATCTCCTAATTGTATAAAATGTTGGCATTGTTATTTTATAGCTTTACTGGGGTAACATTAACATCAAATAAACTGCACATGGATAAATAGCCTACGTTTTGACATACATATACATCCATGAAGCCAACACCACAATTAAGATACTGAACAATTTCTCATCCCCAAAGATTCCTCGGGCCCTTTTTAGTCCCATCCTCATGCTCTACTTGTCTCTACCCAGTCCTTAGGCAACTACTGATCTATTTTCTATCACTGTAGATTGTTTGTGTTTTCTAGAATTTCACATAACTGGGATCACGCAGCATCTCCTTTTTTTGTTTGGCTTCTCTCACTAGCATAATTATTTTGTGGACCATCCGGGTTGAAGCGTGTGTCAACAGTGACTTCCTTTTTATCACTGAGCAGTAAACCACTGTACGGCTCTTCCAGTTTGTCTACACACTCACCTGTTGTTGGACATGTGGGTTATTTCCAGTGTGCACTGTTACAAACAAAGCTGCTATGAACATTCATGTACCAAAAACAAGTTTAATTTTAGTCATTGTCTTTCCTTTCTGGTGAAAAGTACAAAGATCCTAGAATGCTTTAACTTTATGTTCGATGCTTATATGCAATATTGTCCAGAAACTTTATTTATCTTTACATATCTTTCTATTAATCAAATATTATCATACTGATTGTTATATTTTGTTTAGGTTTCTCTATATTTTTTCCAATCATTCCTTCCGCATTTCAGGCTTTCCTTCTGGGATCATTTTCTTTCTTTCTGAAATAATTTAACTTAAAAATATTTGAAAGCTTTAAATGGAAGTTAATTCCCTGAGTTTCTGTTTACCTGGAAATATCTTTTTGGTTGTTGATCCTGTCTTTTAAAAGTTTTTCTTAAATACAATTTTACTTTAGCATTTATTTTCTTTCAGCATTTTGAAGATATTGTTCCTGTGTCGTCTGCCTTCTGATGTTGCTGTTGGTTTAATAACTATCGATTGTTTCTCCTGTGTAGTAACCAGTCTTCTTCATTCTGTTGCTTTTAGAATCTTTCTGTTCTGCAATTTCAGTGATCGATTTAGGTGAGGCTTTCATTTTATTCCTACTCCTTGGGATTCTTGAGTCTTAAAAATTGTGGAAAGCTCTGCTTCATTATCTTTTAAAACATTACCTTTCCACTATTCTATTATTTTCCTCTGGACATCTAACTTTATCCACCATATTGTTTAACTTCTCTTTTATATTTTAAATCTGTCATATTTTCTGCCTGCATTCTGAGTAACTTTATCAAAAGGCAAATTTCTGATCCAAGAATTTGCTCTTTCACCTACTTACCTGCTGTTTAGCCCATTTAGTCAATTTCGTGTCAATTATTTTAGTTTTTAATTCTAGAATTTCTCGTGTTATTGTGTGCATGTATGCACATGTGGGCATGCATGTTTGTGTGTGTGTATTTAATCTTTTAATCTGACTGGATATTTCTGATAGTCTTTTGTTTTTTAATCATATGTGCGCTTTCATTTTTTTAAACACATTAAGCATACCTATAGTCTTTCCCAGGCAACTTTAATCTCTATGTTCTTTCCAGGTGTGAACTCTGCTCGCTCTCATTCATGATGGCATGCTTCCATCTGTGATTTTTCTGATTGTTAGGTCATGCTCTGTGAAACTTATCTGAGGGAATTATTTTAGGACTCATTTGAGAGCACAGGTCTCCTTGGGAGGATGTGGGTTAGTCTCAGACCAGTTCCTGGCACTGCCAACTCATGGCCACCCTAAACAACATTCTAGACTCAGGACTTTATATAAGTGTACACAAAAAGAGTAAAATTTAGCCCCAAACTCAGGTAAATATGGGTCTGTGCTTATAAATTCTTAGGAGTAATATTTCTACCTAGAATGAAAACAAAATAGGCAACTATCCCCAGCACCTTCCTCTCTCCACTTGATCCCAGGAGGAAATCTTGTTTTCCAGGAGGTTCTTCATGTAGAATTCTATGGTTTCACTTTCCACCTCGATGAGGCCCTAAACTCACCAGCAGTCTCCAGCGTTTGCCTGGTCTGAGGCTGTAGCCCCCGGTGGTGAGTGGCTTTAGCTTACACAGTTTCCTTTCTGGAGTCTAGCCTTCTCTTACTTTTTGGCATATGACCTTTTCCTTACTATGTTGTCAGCTCAGCTGTTCTTTAAAAATATGTGTTTGGAATTCAATTCACTACTTTTATATAGTGCGCACTACAAGGATTTTTTAGGGTGTCAGTTCACCATGCTGTCCGAAATAAAGCTTCAGTATAAACTGATTTAAACGAAGCTCTGTATACTGATAAATAGGCGAGATGAATATTCAACAAGCAAAGGTCGTGATTCTCAGCCCTAGCAACACAGTAGCCCTGTGACCAATTTGAAGCTAAATCCTTAAAGATGCAAGATTGTCTATCCTGCTATGCTGAATCCTCCCAATTAATATGAAGGTACACAGAGGCAGTCAGACTGTCAATGACTGAAGTAGATTTTCAGAGGAGCTCACATTGCTGTAAAGATGATATGGAGATCACAATGTGACATGCACCAGAGGATTTAAACTCTTATTAAATGTAATTATATCTACATGGCATGTATACTATAATATATGCATACTACATCCACATATATACACGCAAATACAATTATACTTAAGAAATCTGTCCTACAAAGTATGTATACTTTAATTTCATCCCAATAGCAAACTTGCAAGACTGTATTGTGCCTCAATATTGGTGAGTGATGCACAAGTCATTATTTTTCTTCAGGATTTGCATTAATAAAGAGCTGTTCAGTGTCCCTAGTCCCATTTGATGGAGAGTGATCATTACTGCTGCTCACTGCTGTCTTTGTAGCCTTGCAATCATCCAGCAGATTGGAGAGAGAAGACATATCTAATGATCCTAGCTCAAACACTCTACCTGTTGCTGTTGACAGACTTTGTTCCTTAGAGAAGATATTAACTGCCAGCTGGCTGTGACAGTTTGTGAACTAACTTGACATTTGTGTTGGTGCCGTAAGAGTATTTACAGCTCAGAAATATATATAATCAGATTATGATGGACCCAAGGATTTTCAAAGTAAAAAGTATAATACACAAATTATAAACATGACCATAATAATAAAATTATTTAAAAAATAACTTCAGTGCTTAGGCTCTCATTCCAGAAATACCTTCTCTATATGAAACATAGGGTGTATGTTTGCAAAGACAAAATGGATTGCAGAGAACAGAGGATGGGGATTCCATTTACAGCTGGTCATTCATTCTAAGTTTTCTAACAGCCCACTATGTCAGAAAACTGCTAAGAAAGGTAGAAAGAGCCATTTTGAATGATATGGAATGTAAATGTAAAATATCACAGCATTAGCAAAAAGATGAACATTATAGCTTCGTTATTTTCTTTTGTCAGACTCTGAACAGGATCTTCTTTATATTCCATGAATATCACCTTGTGAGGAATTTAAATTGTCATGTTTCAACATAATCACCCAAAGTGGTTAAGTCTCTAGGAAAGTGACACTGGAAGGCAATGATACAGGCAGAATTTTTGGTGAATATTATGAACACTTTTGAATCTTATAACACTTTTTGTAAATATAAAAGTGGATGGGAAGAATCAATTCGTGTTTTGTCTCTAATCTCATTTCCTAGTAAACACTGGAGATGCCATAATGAAAGAACAGATTTGACCAGTACTTACTGCTCTAGTCCCAGGGCAGTTTGGAGACTGGCATTCACCACTCATCCGGTTTGGGATTAAGACATCTTCCCAGCGAGAAGGACCCTTTGAGAAAAAAAACAGCATATACTTGGTGCACAAACTGTAATTCAAATGTATTCCCTAATACATTTTCTAAAATCTATTTATGCTATAAAACGATAATGAAAGTAATATGTAATCCAAAGATTTTCAAAGTAAGATACATAGACCCTGGGGGTTCTCAGGACCCTTTTGGGGGATCTGGTAAGTCATTTTCATCAATGTACTAAGATGATATTTGGCATATTTGCTCCAAACATGTATCACATGTACATGTAGTAGTTTCCCCACTGCAGTTATAGTTAATTGTTTAAAAATTTAAATAATTTTCTTAAGTTCATTGCAATTTCAGTTGATAACTTTTAAATGAAAACACACATGCAAGTCTCACTCAAAAGGACTATTTGGGGGCAGCAGTGCAGCACGGGGAGGCACACCTGGAGGACCACTGGGTGCAGTTGGCAGGCTGCGCAGAGGCACCTGTATCTCCTCTCCTTCCTGAGGCCCCGTGAGAATTACAGTTAATAACTAGCAACGTGTAAAGCCATAATGCTAAGAAAAACAGAAGGCAGAAATTTGGTTGAGAAGAGAGTTCCACACTTTTCTGGAAATCTGCAATAGGCTGCAGCAGAGGAGGGGGCCTCTGTGCCGTGCAGGCCCACAAGGAGCCCAAAGGCTCGAGAAACAGGAGGCGGGAGGGAAAGGAGAGTGAGACCTGGAGCAGCAAACAGGGAGAAAGTTACAATTTAATAAGCAGAAGATCCTAAAAATCTTCTAGATAGAAAGGTCAGATCCCCAGCTGAGAAACATAGAATGCAATGAAACTTTCTGTGCATATCACAGATATGAATTTTTCATGTGTTAATTTTTCAGGGCCCAAAAAGCAACAAAAACATTTATGTAACAATTCCTATAATTGTCACATAAGTACTACTTTATCTGACAAAACCTTGTGTTGTACAAGGAAATTATAGAGAATTCATTCACAATTTTCTTCTTGATCTCAGACCATAACAAAACATACAGGTAATAAAACTGAATAGAACTCCGTTGGATATGAGACTTCAACATAATAAAATATATGTGCTAGTTTATCCACACTACTCAAACTATTAGTATTGAATGCTATTGCTATAACCATCCTGAAAATAGAAACAAATTTCCCAGTTAATTTCTGCCATTAGAAAGCAGTTTTAACTTTGCTCCTTTCTAGTTCTAGAAAATATAAAATGTCAATTGGTTATTCATTGCATACATTGTTTTAATAGTTGCATGGGTAAAGCATTTATAATTAACGGGCTTTATATAGGAGTAAGAAAGGTGTCAAGACCACAAGATTAACAAGGACTGCAAATCACATGGCAGCACAAGGGAGCTATGAATTAGAATGCATCAAGGAAAGAATACAAAAAAAAAATGTATTTCATCTCTCAAAGGTATAGAATTGGAGAAAGACATCAGAAAAAAAAAATGTCAGAACAGTGTGAAATACATGTCTTAATAAAGAATCCTGTGGCTGCTTTTTAGAAAACTTTCTCCTTTTTGTCCAGTAGTAGTTACAACCAAGAAAAATACATAAATTATTTGAGCATCTATATCAGGAGTCAGCAAACAATGGCCTTGTTGGCCAAATCCAGCCTAGGGTTTGCCTTTGTACGGCCACAACCTAAGAATGGTTTTACATTTTTAAATGGTTGAAAAGCATAAAAAGAAGAGCATTTGGTGGCACAGAAAAGTAAATGATATTCACATTTCCATGTGCACAATGAAATTTATTGGACACGGCCATGGTTGTTCATTTATGTATTGTCTATGCTGCTTCTGCACAGCAAGGGCAAAATTGAGCTGTGGCTCAATAAGCCTAAAATATTTACTATCTGGCCCTTCATGGAAAAAGTTTGCCAATCCTTGATAGTAAATAAAATTTTCCAAGTTCATATTGAAAAGTACTCAAAAATATTGTAGCAGCATTTTGGCCACCATATAATCTTATTCATTTGTACGAGTAGCTGCATTCTGGGTCTCAAGTGAGAAATTACTTCAATTAAAACCTTAGTACTGTTGACCTGTGAAATCTGAGAAGGCATTGATAGAATCCAGTGATTCAAGTTGTTTGAATCAGTAAGAGAGTGGAAAATTACAACATTTGGGGATTTGTCTTGATTAATGTTACCACCAGCTGAAAATCATGAAGCAGAATATTATTTAAATACATTTATATGATGCATGTAAATCAGAAGTTCAGAAAAATGACTCAGTGGCATAATAAACAGTGATGAAAATCTATCAAATATGAGTCTTAAAATAATATTTATTCTTAAGAATTCCAGAACAAATCCACAAGTCCTGTTGGCTATGTCTTGTCAAGTCCAATCAAGTGGAAAATTGCAGTACTTAACTAATTCTTATCCGAACATCACTCTGACAAGCTTCAGACAGGCAGTAAGCAAAGGTGTGGTTTTTTCCTGAATTACCTAAATCAATTCTATAATCTGTTCTTCATGGGTGGGCATATACACTGCTCCCCTAAACAAATTATGCATTATGTTTTACAAAATGTTTCTACAAAGTATTGGCTTTTACAGGTTTTGAAAAGGGTAATTTTAATAGTATTTTTACTACACTTTTACGAATTATCTCAGGTTATCATCAACTGTGTTGCATTTAAAATAGCCTCTTGGGGCTTCCCTGGTGGCGCAGTGGTTGAGAGTCCGCCTGTCGATGCAGGGGACACGGGTTCGTGCCCCGGTCCGGGAGGATCCCACATGCCGCGGAGCGGCTGGGCCCATGAGCCATGGCCGCTGAGCCTGCGCGTCCGGAGCCTGTGCTCCGCAACGGGAGAGGCCACAACAGTGAGAAGCCCGCGTACCGCAAAAAAAAATAAAAAATAAAATAAAATAAAATAGCCTCTTGAGGCTTCCCTGGTGGTGCAGCGGTTGGGAGTCTGCCTGCCGATGCAGGGGACGCGGGTTCGTGCCCCGGTCCGGGAGGATCCCACATGCCGCGGAGCGGCTGGGCCCATGAGCCATGGCCGCTGAGCCTGCGCGTCCGGAGCCTGTGCTCCGCAACGGGAGAGGCCACAACAGTGAGAAGCCCGCGTACCGCAAAAAAAAAAAAAAAAAGCCTCTTGAATGAGTCCACAAACATCTAAGTCGAATAATTAAATTTAAGGGACTAAAATTATTTTGAAAATTATACTACTGACATAATACAAGGATAGCAAAACTGTCTTTAACACAGCTACACTCAGAGGCTTCCCTCCACCCTCCTAACTTTTCCTCTCTGTCTGCAATAAAATGATACAGAGAAGGAGAGTCAAAGTTCACAAACCTGTTGAATCCCAATTCCACCAATTATTAGCTATATGCTCTTGAGCAAGTTTCATTTTGCCTTTCTAAACTTAGGGTTCCTCATCTGAAAAGTGAGGGATTAATTAGCTCCTTCACAGGGATTTCATGAAGATTAAGTGAAATAACACCTGTAAGACTTTTGCACAGTACCTGGCACATGTTGACTTATTTAAAACTGGCAACTGTTGAAAGCAGGATTTCTTATTTCTCAAAATAGAACTCCCCAAGTACGATTATGTTTAATTTTGTAGATAGATAAGCAATAAGATGCCAATTTCAAGGGACCGGACTTAACCCAGTGGGTTTTTCATTTCTTCCTTTTTCTCAGTTTCCACATTACCCAACCATTCCCCAGGGGTCATTCACTTTCCAGAGCATGCTGCTTATAACTCTCTTAAAGCATGATTGATATTTCCATCAGTCATATAGTAACCTTGTTCTGCATCTTCCTCCATTTGATTTGAAGATCTATGCTTCTAATAAAGCTAAGCATGGTGCTGTGATTATAGCAGAGGCTCAATAATGCAATCATTTAATAGCAAGCAGGGAAAATAATAGGGAAAAGTCCTTTGAATCAATACGTATCTACCAACAACTCTATTAAACAGCTCTTCAACTCTGTATTCTTACAGTTTACAAAAGAGAGAAGAATCATTTTTCTTATAGGTTTTATGGACTAGCCACAAAGACTGAGGTTGTAAATTAACTGAGCATGCCCATTCAAATGAATAAAATTAAAAAGGAATATTCATACCAAATATTGGTCAGATATAAAGCAAATGAATACACATATACTGCTGGTACAAATATAAAATGACACAGCCAGTTTGGAAATCTATTAGGCATTAAAAAAAAATTAAACATACAACTAACACATGGCTTGGCCATTCCACTCCTAGATAATTGACTAAGATAAATGAAAACGAGTCCACAAAAAGAATTGTATACAAATGCTCACAACAGTTTTATTCATAATAGCCACCAACTGGAGACCACCCAAAATAAGAATGGATAAACAAAATGTGGTATATCCATCCAATGGAATACTACTCAATAATCAACAGTATTATGTTACTTATAAATGCAACACCATGGATGATTCTCAAAATTATGTGAGGGAAGGAAGCCAAATATGGAATAGAATATATGCATGATTCTGCTTATATAAAATGCAAACAAATCTATAGTGGCAAAAACAGATCAGTGGTAGCTTTCGGGTGGGGGCAGAGGGTGGAATGGGCTACATAAGAGCATGAAGAATCTTTTGGGGGTGTTATGGGCTGAGTTGTGTCCTCTAAAACTGCATATGTTAAAGTCTTAACCCTCTTCAGAATACGACTGTTTTGGAGATAGGGTTTTTGAAGAGGTAATTAGGTTAAAATGAGGTCATTATGGTGGACCCTAATTCAATGTGACTGGTGTCCTTAAAAGATGTCCTTAACAGATGGGATTGGGACACAGACATGCACAGAGAAAAGATCACATGAAGGCACAGAAGAAGACAACCATCTATAAGCCAAGGCAAGAGGTCTCAATAGACACCAACCTTGCTGACAATTTAGTCTCAGACTTCTAGCCTCCAGAATTGTGAGTGAATAAAATTCTGTTGCTTAAACCACCCAGGTGGTGGTACTTTATTATGGCACCTCTAGCAAACTAATATAGGGGTTATGG